AAAAAAAAAAACTGAACAACTAATTGCTACCAATTTTTTAACCACTTCAACTTTATGAAAGTGCAAAGTTTGTTGAGAACTAGTTTCACTCTCATGGTTCAACTCCTTAGTTCCTACCTCAAAACGGTTTCTCTCTCTCTGGCAGTGACATACAACATTTTGAATATTTTGGTGCCCAAAAGTCTAACAAATCAGTCATTGGATACCTTAGGACTCACCCATATTCCACCTAAAGATAAACCTTTAATTTGACCAAACGTGCAGTATCTGGATTTCAGAAACCATTTTCTTAATATCAATCATTTTGTAATATAGTACTTATCAGGTGGAATATCAACCGGGTTTTTGCTATTATGTTTGCATTACCTTCTAATCAATATTCCAAAACAAAAAAAAACAAAAACAAAAACTTGCTCTGACAAAGCGTGCCAATTTGTTTCCAAATAAAAATCCCGATATGACCAAAAAAAAAAACAAAAACATGCAACGTCAAGGACCCAAAAAGACGAGATAAATGTGGTATCCTATTTAAGAATTCTATTAGACCCCCAAAAAAAGTCATTACCCCAAAGAATTGCCAGGTTATATACCATCTTTTAATTTTTCATTCCCCCCTAATTTCAAACCCCTATATAACATAACCAAAAAAAGAAAAAAAAATGAATTATAAAAACAACATTGAATTAGGCAATGCTGTTACTTTCTTCATTCTCATGAATTCCCCAATTTTCCTTTTCACAAAAAGTTTTCCATGATCTCCAAAAGTCCGGTCAAAATTCACATTAAAGAAAACAAATATCAAAATTCACGTAATTGACCCCTAGAATACAAGAAAGAAAAGGAGTGGAAAAAAAGAAAGAAAGAAAGAAAGAAAAGAAAGATAGAAGAAAGAATTGACGTACTCCACAACCGGTATCAATGGCAGTCCTTATGGAACCTCCTTGGAGATCGATAAACTTTCCGATATCGTCGATATACGCATCGGCGCCGTGTGGAAACATCGTCCCGCCGCCGGGGAATGTCAGCCGTCCGGTATTCTTGTCGTAGTGAACCCAATTCTGGTTCTTCTTCTCCACCGTCAGCTCCTTATGAGGCACATTCGCGTACCACGCCACTCCCCGGCTCTCCGGCCACCGGAACGGAATCCTGTACCCGCTTGGCGCCGGAATCCGGCACCTCATAACCTCCTCCGGCGTCGGGCAGTGCCTCTCCCGGTAAATCAGCCGGTCTCGGTCAAACCTCAGCGACCTCTTAACGTCCTCGCACGGCGTGTACTCCGCCAGCTCGGCGGCGCACGGCGGGAAGTAGAGCCCACGCGCAGCCGCATCGGAGGGGCTGAGATCGTCGTCGGCGTCGGGGGCCTGGTGGTGGGAGGAGAAGTCGAGGCGCGTGGAGTTGACGCGGTCGAGGAGGGGGGGGCAAGTGGATGGTTGTAGTTGGCGGGACGCAGCGGCGGTGGAGATGATGATGGTGCCGGTTGTTTGGCGCCAGAAGCCGAGGAGGTAGCAGGCTGTGAAAAGGGCGATGGCGGCGGTCAAGAGGTAGAGCCTTAGTCTTTTGGCTCTCAAGACGTGAGAAGACGAGAAACGTAGTCGATTCGTTTCCACCATTTTTCTTTCTTTGGTTTCTTTTCTTTTGAGCTCTCGATCAAGAGAAACAAGACTCTGAGTGAATATGCGTGAAATGAAAAATGAAAAATGAATGTATGTTATATAGCACGGGGTGACGAATGGCGTTTTCGAGGTTGATTGTGTCATGGGGAGTGAAATAGAAAATAGTAGTGGCGCGTGGTAAGAACGCGCGAAACATTACACGCGCTCTCTCTCGCTGCGTCTCGTCAATGGGTTTAATGGGATATACGTGGGGGCAGGGCAGGGCAGGGCAGGACAAGAGAGGGTTGGCTCTTCCCTCTCTTTTTCGAATGCTCATCAATTATGAACCCAACTCGACAACCAGAGACAGGCGACGTAGCCTTCAATTCCACGTTATTTTAGAGAGATTTCGAATTCGACGAAATGAAGCACGGAGTGCCCGCTACTCGTTCATCATTCAGATAGATGCGCCTCTCTCCCAGTCGTCCGGGTTCATCGTTCAATCAATCATTCGTACGTTATGAATACAACTTTTGGTTCATGCATGCCTTCAGATGATTTTATTTTTTATATGTAAATAAAAATAAAAATATTTTTAATTTAATATAAAAATTATTTTTAAAAATATATTTAGTAATTTTATTAAGAGATTATTTTTAATATAAAAAAATTTATTAATATTTCTCTTTTTTTCTCTCTATTCGGAGAACGAAAATAAAAAATAAAAAACAATTAAAAATTATTTTTTATTTCTTTCTCATTTTACACTAAATAAAAAAACCGTTTTCATTTTTATTTTTTTATTTTTATTGCGCCAAACGCTGTTTTGAAAACGTTTTTATTTTTTCTTTCTAAAAAAAACGTGAAAAATAAAAACGAGATTAATTCTAAACACGGTCTTTATTTTGTGAAAAAAGAGCATACTCTCTACTAGAAATTATCATAGTAAATTCCTTTTTTTCCTCTCTTTTGGATTCTTGTATTTGCGGGCATTTCGTGTTACAGAAGTGTTTGGACATGAAATGAAACTTTTACTAAGTAATCCCTTGGAGAGAGACTCATTTCGATTGGATTCGAGTGCTGAATAAATGGCTGGAAATTAAGTTGTCAAAATTAATATATTTAATTTGAGTTTTGCTATTTCTCGTAGTGTTCCTCAGAGAGGGAGAGAGAGAGAGAGATCAGAATCTTTCCTAATAAAAATTTATTAATGTTCATTGTAAAGGAAATCTGTTTTTAAATGGATACACCCAATATGCCTAAAGGAAATCTGTTTTTAAATGGATACATCAATATGCCTACATCTGTGTGTACCAAATATATATGAACTAACCTGAAAAGCTAATACTGGTTGTCTAAAGGGACTTTCTCATAGTGTTTCATTCTTTTTTGAGAATACTGTGGGCGCGTTTAAAACTCGTTCTAAAATAATTTTGTTATTTATATAAAAATGAAAATGTTTTCAACCTCAGACATAAATCATTTTTGAAAATATGTTTGGTAATTTTATCAATATATTATTTTCAGTGTAAAAAAACTCATTAATGTTTCTTTCTCTCTGCTCGAGAGAGGAGAAAATGAAAACAAAAAATGAAAAATGACTAAAAGTTATTTTTCATTTCTTTCTCATTTTACACTAAACTAAAAAATTATTTTCATTTATGTTTTTTGTCTTTATTGCGCCAAATGTTAAACGTTTTCATTTTTTTTTAAAAAACATAAAAAATAAAAACGGGATCAATTCCAAACACGGCCGGTGTTTTTTACTTTTCAACCAGTAAATCTATATTAAAATTTGTCTTTTCTGTATACTTTTTTAATTTAATGTGATTTTAACAATATCTAACGACTAAAAAAGCAGAGAATACTGATATTTTTCTCGAGAAACTTCCAAGAAGGAAAAGAATACCTTATAACTTTCCCTAAAAAAAAAGAATACCTTATAATTCATGCACTAAACAAAATATTCTTAACCCTTTTTCTGTTTTGAATTTCCAATGGTAAACGTTTTTCTTTCTTCTTCTTTTTTTTTTCCTGTTACTATTTCTTGAAATTTTGTTGCAAATAAAATAGAATTGTGTGTTTTCAAGAGTACATACAAAAATAGGCAAAAGCAATTTGTCCCTTTCATCCTCTCTCTCCTTTCCTTTTTTTTTAAAACATTTTATAGGGAAAATACACTAAATACCATTTTTCACCTATCTTTTGGAAGTAAATAGCATTTTATTTAAAAGTTGATAAATTATAACATATCTCTCATATTAATTTTTAAATAAATTATGAATTTCTAAATTTTACCCACTAGGGTTTCTTTCTTTCTATGCTTCTCTCAGACTCCAAACTCTCTCTCTCTCCCGCCCTTCTCTCTTTGCCGCCTCTCTATCTTCTCTCTCTCTCTCTCTCTCCCCCCTCTCCCTCTCTCTCTCTCTCTCTCCCTGGATTTGCTCACTGCTCAGACACCTCACAAATAGCTTTGACCAAATCGCAGCGCCGACAACAAGATGACAACGACGGTGAGAGGTGAAACACTGAGCACTGTCGAGATCTCCGGAACCAGCGCATCCAATCTCAGCAACTCTCTCCCACTCCGCCGTCATGATCTCCAGAATTCTCACCTCCGATCTCGACAAGACGGTGACAATGAAGAGACGCGAAACACCAAGCACTGTCAAGATCTCCATAAGTTGCGCATCCGATCTTGGCGACTTCAATCCGCGACTCTCTTTCTCTCTCCCCCGCCGCGATCTTCAGAACTCGCACCTCCGATCTCGTGACTCTCCCTCCACTGTCGCGTTCTTTGAAACCCTCGCCTCTTATATTGGGCCACTTTAATGTCACCATGCTCTGTCCCTATCTCCACCGTCGTGATCTACAGAACTCGCAGCCTCTGATCTCGGCGTCTCCGATCTTGCGACTTCCTCACAAAGACGATACCGCACCCTTATTTCTACTCCTCCCTCCTATGAATCGCACCAGACAAACGGCGTTGGAATATCTGACATTCTCTGTGGCGCTTGACATTGGTAGATCTGAGTTTGTGTTTATTAGAATCTCTAAGAGGGTGTTTGGTATGAGGATTCGTGTCATGGTTCGAATCATAGTTCGTGACTCGCTACGGTGTTTTTTCTTACAAAAAATACACATAAACTGAGAATGGTTCTGAATCATAATTCTGAATTCGTGAACCAAACGTCCAGTAATTTTGTCCTTTTTTAACATTGGATGGTGTTGTTCAGTTCTTATTTTGGAGGTTTGATTGTTTGTTTGTCTTTTTGTTTTCCTGAAAAATGATTTTTTTGGCAATGATGATGGCAGATTTATGGCCGCTGATTGAAGTTTTGAGTAAATACAGTAATTATGAGTAACCATTGTATTTACAGGTCGCCGGCTTCAGAGGCCAAATTTTTAAATAAATATAGTAAACATGGCATTTACTAGTAAATATGGTATTTATCAATAAATACGACATTTATTAGTGACTGGCTCCGGAGGCCAAATTTTTAAATAAATATGGTAAATATCACATTTACTAGTAAATATAGTATTTACCGATTAAATACGATATTTACCTGTCGCCGGAGCTGGTCGTTAAATTTTTGGATAAATATAGTAAATACAGTATTTACCGGTCGTGGGAACTGGTCGGCAGATTTTTTGATAAATATGGTAAATACCGTATTTATTAGTTTATATGATATTTACCGGTAAATACGGTATTCACTAGTCGCTGGTGCCGGCCATCGGTTGCCGGAGAAGGTCACCGGAGTTGGCCGCCGGTCGCCAAGCTGGCCATGGTGAATTTGACTATAAGGAGAAGAAGAGAGATGAAAAAGAGGCTTAGAGATATTTTCAAATTTTTAATAATATTTAAAACTTAAAACATCAAATTATACTATAATTTACTAAACATCCTATTATTAAATATGTTATTTCCCTTCTTATCCCGTGTTCTTATCCGGTGTTTATATATCCTAGAGTTTATAAAAGGTTAGCTTGAATCCACATTCGAAGTTTTCTATTGGTTACAAAATTTAACTAGCCTTTCAATATTCCAACTTCAACTATCATAATTTAATCTGAGCAAAAATAACTTAAAACTATTGTAACCATGAGGCAGTTAAATCATAAGAATTTGGTTAAAAAGAAAAGTAATGATTGGATTCTAACTTTGACATATTCTTAGTTTAGTTTAGCTCGCCGAATTCCTAGAAGATAATGGAAAATATATTGTGTGCTAGAATGAAACATCAGTTTTTGGTGCCAATGACATACGGGAGTTTTTCTATTAAGAAAAATGAATTATTAATAGATTTTTACTTTTTAATTATCGCATTTAAATTATAAACTGTTTATTCTGCATAATTTTTTTATTTAATATAATTTTAATCAGATAGTCATATCAGTCAGAGCTTATCAGCCAAGTCTCTGAAAATATAGTTTAATGTGTTAGTACAACGAAATAGATACAAATAGTCTTTATCCAATTCAGTAAGTATTTGGACAAGTCAGTTGATGTTATATGCACAAAATAGAGATCAAATTTGCATTCTCAAATTCAAGTTCCCCCTACATCTTATCACATTTCGTTTGATCTACTTCTAATTGGCAAGTCAAATGATTTTTCAATACTGTTGACGGTGTTTTTCCGACAACTCGTAATTACCTCTCCAAAAATACTCACGGTGATACTCAAGGTGTGATTAAGGATAAAAATTAGAAAATAATGTAAACAAGACAATAATTTTATAGTGGTTCGGCAATAACTCTTTGCCTAATCCACTTGTGTATGCACTAATTTTTTTGGCATTTACAAGCTTCTTCTTAGTAATAAAAATGGTGTCTCTCCCCTCTCTCGGTTTTCTTGGCTCTATTTATAGGCATTTACATGTGAATACGTATTTCCCGTTCCCAAGGAGGAAGCCATCTTCTGTCCTTGATCCGCGTGAGGGTAGGTGAGTTTTCATGATGACTGCTCCGGGAAACGCGGCTGATCCTTCCTGTTTGCCGCCTGATTTCCTAACTCCTGCAGTAGCAGTCGGATCAATACTTCTCTTTTCGAGTTGACAAGACCGCTGCTGGATTTGACTAGACTGCTTCCGGTCTGATCTAA